CTGAAGGCAAAAGGGGGTCCAACCCGTTACTAGCGTGGTGTACCTAATAAAGTGGCCGGTGAGTGTATGTGACAGCATATATACATATATCAGAGGTGCCCAAAGTGGGGCCCGTGGACCAAAACTGGCCCACCAAGCTATTTGATTTGGCCCACCAGCAGTTTTCATGGTTACTAGGTTGTAAATTGTCATCCTATGTAGAAACACAGTACTTCCACCTAAAATCACTACATACATTGGGCCAATGACTACATAAGGGGCTGTATTGCAGTTAGTCAAAAACGTGGGCCACTGCACCAGCTGCTAGCTTAATCATTAAAAAGAAAAGGACTGTACTTAGGAAGTATTGTATTTGTATTTCATTAATTATATTATTGCATTTGGCGGCAGCCATCGGATACATTTTCATTTTGGGGAAAAGGTTTGGGCAGCCTTGAGAATATATATATATATATATATATATATTTTGTATGTATGTATAGACTAGACTATATAGACTAGTGCATCCTAAATTTATCATAAATTAAACATTATTTTAATACGACAGACATTTCTGCATTTTTTGGGGGAGTAATAAATGTCCTTACAGGAAACCTAACTGCTCATTTTAAATCAATACCTTTACTTTTAATACTTAAGTACAAAAAATATCAGATACTTTAAGACTTTTACTCAAGTAATATTCCTAAAGGAGACTTTAACTTTTACCAAAGTAATGTTTTGGTAAGATACTTGTACTTTCACTCAAGAATCACTTTGTGATACTTTATACAGCAAATTCCTAACAAATCATTTAAAGCACAGAATGAGCTCCGACTTTTCTCTTTAATTTCCTGACCTGTTTCAGCACCCTCCTCATAGCTTCTTCATCCGTCTCCTCTTCACTGTCAGGTTGTTGAAAATCCTCAGCTGTGACTAWAAGTGCAACACAAACAAAACGACCCCCTCTGTCAAAGCCAGGATTTAGTTTTTCTGGTTTCCTGACTAAAAAATTTGCAGGTAATATTTAAGAATGATGTACTAATAGTTCTGAGCACCTTTATCTGGGTCCTGCCCCTTCARCTGTGCCAGCCTCTTAGCCATGTCGAGGATCTGATCCTGGGTGTGGCGCTCGTTCCTCAGCTCCTTCATGGCTTCCTCGAGCAGATGGTTCTTCTCTGCCTCCAGCTGTTTGACTGCTCCCTGGTTGTCCTCCACGTTTTCATCCAACTCAGCTCCCTCCCCTTTGTTGAGATCGTTCAGATCTACRTCTGTAAATACAGTTTTTGTTATATTTAAGAATCCCGTGCATTCAGGCAGTGTTACGTAACYGCATCATTACTTGCAGATTAAGATTTGGGAGCCAAGTAATAACGTACCGCTTTCTGGRCTCGACTGTTGGTTGTCAATGGCAACTTCTTCTGTCATCTGTCTTAACAAATCATTGGCTCGTTCAGTCTGAGTCCGGCTGTCAGGAGGCTGGTGCACCTGTACACGTTAGCTTATGTAAGAAATCTCAAATGTTTGAATTCTTTTTAAATAGCATCCGACATTTGAAACAACAAATGAGATGTAGACTGAGAGAAGGAAATAGGRAAGGGAAATCACAGGAGGAGGAGCTTTAGATGGTGGTGGCAAACCCCGTAGAGCTGCCAGACGASCTGACATCTCGTCTGCAGAAGGCACAGGCTGGGCGGGAGCTTTCAGGGCAGCAAGGCGTGACTCAATCTCCTTCTCAGAAGGGATAGACTCTGTAGAAATCAAACAAATCGGCATTGGCTTTTTGAAAGAAATGAAATGCATTATTATTGCATTTAATAGATCTGACCAAAAATGGATTTCCTTACTGGGTTTATTGTCTTCCTTTAGCTTCTGAAGTCTCTCAGCTATAGCTTGATCTTCTTTACTCAGGCCTTTAGTTGGTAAAAGGCCTGCTTTGTTGTTTCTGATTCCTCCATGTGGCTGAGTCGACTGTCCTTGCTGTTTGGCCTCTTGTGCAGCAACCCGTCTGTGGAAAACATGAACTTTAAATATATAAAAAAAATAATAAAACTTCTGTGTTGCTTTTTTATTCCCCACAAATAGGATCATTTACTAACTTTTTGTAGTTTTCMGGAGGGGACCATCTTCCAGCACTGTTTGAAGATTCCCCCCTGACAACAAAAATAAAAAAGGAGTTGTGGTGACCATCGCAGTGTTGAGGAATTGAACGCATGTGATGGGTTGAGTTGTTACCTTGTCAGATCACCTTGACATTGCTTGCAGACCTTCTGCTGGGTGTTGCCACAGCGAGGCACCACAGCACTGAAAGTCAAGCAGCTGGAACAGAAGGAGCGTCCGCAGCTTTTACAGCCCACCTATAAGAGGACATTACAACGTCAACCACACATTAAAAATTACATCATGTGGACGTAAAACACCATTAAAACCATTACCTCCTTCTTGAAGAGACTAAACTTTGAAGCACAACAATAACAACGGTTGTCCATGCCGTCACGCGCAGAGTAAAAAAAAAACTATAAGATTACAGCTTATGCTTCTCTACTAGGTGATGAAATACATTTAATAAGCTATATTTTCTAAGTTAGCGATCCAYTCGGGCTGACAACGCTCCCGTTGTCAACACAGGAAGTAATGCGGAAATGAAGTGACGTATGCTTGACGGTTTCCTGTTTGTGGCTCCTCCAATCAGCGTTCTGCAAATGGTCTCGCGGGCGTTGTTCAAAACACAGCTCACTGCTCCAGTTTTCAACGGCATTGTAACGTTGGCTGCGTGTAATAAAGGGTCATAGGAGGCTTATAAAAGGGTATGGAAACTTTCGGAGTATTATCATTTATTTTACTTCATGGCTAAGAGTAAAATTAACTATCACTGTAACCAAAGACGAAGATTGTTGAGTTAAAGTAACTGTCAGTCAGTGTCTTCGCTAACAGTGTGGCTAACTAATTAGCCGAACTAGCATCGATGAGAGTTAATCTGTACAGATATTTGTTTTCAGATGCGCGTAATTTGCTTTAGGATATCGATAGTACTTGGTAATTACATCCCTGTAGTAAATGAGGAATTTAAAGTTGCAAATATTTGTTCAATCGTGTTTTTTATGTCTTGTTCGCCAGAGGCTGTGCAACAAATCAACCTGTGCAAGATCTTATCTTTGCACTGATTTAGAGGATGTAGCAGTCTGCAGCACAGAGACACAGAGGTCTTTTAGTTTGTTCAATTTCTTTGATTCTCTGGTTCTGATTCTGCAACCACAGACCTGCTCCACTTGTCTTTAGTCTTCTCTGTTGGATTCAAACCAGTATTTGCTGTCTGTCCTATGTGTTTCATTTTAGGCCGGTTTAAACAGGGACTTAATTAAAGCATTTTTAATGCTGTATTTATAATATTAGACAGTGTATCCCAAACTCTCATCTTCTGACCCACAAAATAACTAGGGCTGTGTATTGGCAAGAATATGGCGATACGATACATATCATAACAGAGGGGTCACGATATGATATATCCCGATATATTGCGATACTGTAAGCAAGGCAATATATTGCGATTTTTTTTGTCCAAATATTCTATTAAATAAAAACCTCTTACTGAAAAAATAAATAAATAAAAGCTAATGTTTACTTACAATGCTAATGCTACCCTTACTCTCTGGCGCTCAAGAGGTAGAGGAGCCAAATGGTTGTCTCACTGCTGCCAACTAGTGGTCAGARGCTGAACTACAACATAAAAATGAACGGTTGGCAAGAAGGTTGACATTTTAAACCTTAATTAAAAATCGATACAGGGCTTTAGAATATCGATACAGTATCGGGAAAYGAAATATCGCGATATTTCAGTGTATCRATATTTTCTTACACCCCTAAAAATAACGGTAGCAGAGATCTGTGCCCCCAGCTATTTTTGGGTGATACACAGTAGCATAAGTTTAAACAAACAAAGGCATAACAATATACATTAGGCTATTTTAATCCATTTTAGGTACACTAACCTCCTTCTTTTGTAACAACTAAGGCAAAAATATGTGTTTAATTATTTTTTAGATGCAATATATTCTGAAAATGTTTTCAAGACCCGGCCTTGGTGTGGTACCCCAACTTTGGCAACCACTAATAAAAACAAAAAAACAAAACTTGAGCATCTTTGCTAAATAAGCATTGGTAAGATGAGTACTGAGAACACGATCTGCCTGTAGTTGATATGTTTTTATTTTTATTTTTTTGTTCGTAGGCATCCAGTCTTTACTTTCTACAATGGCAGAAGGAGGAGATGTGGACTGGGAGCTCAGCAAAGAAAACATCCAGCCACTGAGGCGGGGCAGAGTTATATCTGCTTTACACCAGGCTCTCAGTCAGCAGCAAGATGGTCCTGCCTCTACAATCAACCAACAGAGACAGTGGGGACATTTAAACWGGCAAACCTTTTTTTTTAAATATAAGGTTTTTACATTATTAACAAGKATTTTGTTTCTTTCTGTTTCTTTAGGGCTTTTGAGTCTGAACTTCGGCTGTACGAAGGAGACGATCCCCTTAGTGTTTGGGATCAGTCAGTAAAATATTTAAAATTTGTTTATTTCCAAGCATCACTCTGTAAACCCCTCACTAATGTAGAAATTGTTCTGTTTTTACAGGTATATAAAGTGGACAGAGCAAACTTTCCCCCAGGGAGGGAAAGAAAGCAACCTCGTCACACTGTTGGAGCGAGCCGTGACCAGATTCTCAGAGGAAAAAGATTACCACAACGACCCTCGCTATGTGGACTTCTGGATTAAATTTGTACACCTTTTCATTTGACCTTAGACTGATTTTGTATCTTTAAAACAAATGAGGTGGTGGTAACTTTTACTTTGCGTTTGTGAATCACCAGGCAGAGAACTGCTCAGAGCCCCTGGATATTTACAGGTACATGCAAGCTCAAGGAATCGGGGTGACACAGGCGTCCTTCTACATCGCCTGGTCTGAAGAGCACGAGAATCAAGGCAATTACCGAAAAGCAGACCTCGTCTATCAAGAGGGGTTCAAGAAGTGTGCTGAGCCACATGATAGACTCCTCCAGTTTCACAAGTATGAATCYATTTACTGTAGTTTTTTAAGCACAGCTCTCAGTTTATCTGTTATATTTGCAATAATTTGCACTGTTATTTCCAGGGCTTTGCAGGCTCGTGTATCCCGCCAGGCAATGTTAAACATGGAGAAGGACAGTAGCGATGAAGAGTCGAAACAATCCGAGAGAGTTTCTCTGGCTGTCCTCAAACACAGAGGGAAGAAAAAGGCCATCGCTCCTGTCCTCAGAACCGGGACAGCAATCAAAGGTACCACGTAAATCTGCTGTGAAACCTTTTGCTCATATAACCTTTTGCTCATATTACCAGTGCCACAACACTTATTATTTGTTCTTTATTGTTGGGCCTGTTGACAGCTTTTTCTGGAGGCCTGCAGTCATACGGCACCCCTGTCGTTGGCAATGTTGCAAACAGTCGGCTGGTGATTTTTGATGAGAACAAAACTGAAGGTGCTGGTCCGTCAGAGCCCAAGTTGGAGCCTTGGGCGGTTCCTCCCACGTCACGGGCAAAAGAGAACGACCCAAAGCCTGAAAGATGGTGTGACGTTAAGGTATGAAAGACTCCAATCTTTGTTTATTTGTATTATTATGTTTATTGCAGTCTATTTAAAAAGGCTATTTTTTCTTTTTAATATATATAAAACACAGATGCCCCAGAAAACCAAATATGGACATACAGTTCCACCACCTGCTAAACCCACATTTCAACCATTTGTTGAGGAGTTCGACCAGCCCCCAACCATGTGAGTAAAAGTTAGATCTTTTTATTTTTGACAAAAAAAAGATAGGGAGCGATGAGAGCGGATCTTTGTGACTGCCTGTGTTGTTACCCTTTGTAGCCATGCTCTGTTGTCATCTCTAAAAGAGCCTTTAGTGACATTTGTGACTGTGCATCTCAACAACAGTTCATCTCAATTTTTTATGATATTATCACTGTTTTCCTATAAACATCTGTTTTTATCACAAAAATTTGATGTCACAAACACTTCAAGGCCTGTAGATTAGGGTTGATATCTGCAAAAAAATAATATAATACGATTGATTGTGGTATTTAGCCGATAACGATTAATATCCCTGGATGCCTGCATATCCAAGTCACATGGCCAATTTAAATCATTCTAGTGGGAAAGATTTGCTTTCTGTGAAAATCTGTTCCAAACTGTGTAAAAAGTACACACTTAAGGCGATGCATCAAATTTTAAAGGGATCAACGATTAGTTGTAACTAGGGCTGCCACGATTAATTGATGACTAATTTAATAATCGATTAATCGTTTTCTTTTCTTTTTTTGTTCACTTTGTTTTTCTCTCCAAACTGCTTTGACACCTTCCACTGCCACATCTGCCTTTCTGTCCCTGCCTTTCTGTCCC